TTAGCCATTGGATCTCTCATTAATGCCCCGGAAATTTCTTTGACAACATTAGCAATTAACGTGAAATGTCCATAAATTTCAAATTTTATGATTCATTGTGTATTGGCTTGAGACTAAATCTTGGGTAGTATGTCTAAACTTTATAAAGACATTGCTATTCTCAAGAGTGGTCAGTGATTTTGCCAAGTAGAATTACACTCAAACCTATTTTTTATCTATCTATCCATCCATCCACCCATCTGTGTATGTTGGTTTTTCAAGACAGGGTTTTTCTGTTTAGCCCTGGCTATCCTGGAACTGGACCAGGCTGGCCTCGAATTCAAAAGAGATCACCTGCAACTGCCAGGATTAAAGGCGTGTGTCACCACACCTTGCCTTCAAACTTACTTAAATGTTCCTTTTTTATGCCTTTCTTTGAATTTGTATTATATAGCCTTATAACTATTTTTTTCTCTTTGGTTTAAGTTGCCATTGCCCCAAATGGAGCCTTACAGTTGGCCAGTCCAGGAGCAGATGGAGTTCAGGGACTGCAGGCATTAACTATGACAAATTCCAGCAATGCTCAACAAGGTACAATCCTTCAGTATGCACAGACTTCTGATGGACAGCAAATACTCGTCCCCAGCAACCAAGTGGTTGTGCAGAGTAAGTGTGCTCCTTAGCTACAGACATGTCCAGTCCTTTCTGAGGCAGTGATGAGTAACTCACCTCTTTGGCCCTGCAGCTGCATCAGGAGATATGCAGACCTATCAGATCCGTACCACACCGTCTGCTACTTCTCTGCCACAGACTGTGGTGATGACTTCTCCTGTGACCCTTACATCTCAGGCAACAAAAACAGATGACCCCCAGCTGAAAAGGGAAATACGGCTGATGAAAAACAGGTGGGTATAATGAGTTGTGCGTATCTCAGTCACACACCACCTGGTTAGGTGATTAGAAAGGAAGTTTGGCTCTGCTTTGTTTTACCATATGCTGGGATATATCGGGTTCATTCCCAGTGCATCAGCGAGCTCATGTGTAAGTCTCTGATAAATAGCCTATCACCAGAGTTCAGTATTACTGTAGCCTTTGAAATCACATTGTTTAGTGACAGGACAGATGGTTCTGTGATTAAGAGCACTGGCTACTCTTCCAGAAAACTCATTCAATTCCCAGCACCCACATGTTAGCTTAAAACTCCAATTCTAGGGGACCTTAAATCTGATGTAGCCTATTTGGGCATTGCACACATGTGATGTACAGACATACACACAAGCAAAGCACCTATTATATACATAAAATAAGAATATATTTTACAAATTGAAGAAGCATTGCTAGGCAAAGCTTTTTGAACAGCATCTGTTAGGCACACCCTAGAGGTTCTGGGCACGGTCCCACAACAGGAGCACAGAAATGCCACAGTAAGCAAGCCTTGCCAGGTACAGCAATCGTGTGTGCTGTACTTGAGCCATCGATTGCACTGAAAAGATAAGCTACATATTGTAATCTGCAATGGTCACAGTACCAGCATCATCGGAGCTTTTACTTATTATGTATACAATGTTCTGTCTGCGTGTATGCCTGCAGGCCAGAAGAGGGCACCAGATCTCATTACAGATGGTTGTGAGCCACCATGTGGTTGCCGGGAATTGAACTCAGGACCTTTGGAAGAGCAGGCAATGCTCTTAAATTCTGAGGCATCTCTCCAGCCCCTCATCTGAGCTTTTTTAAGGTGTAGTGGCAGCAGCAGCCCCCTCCTCCTCCATGGGTTGTTAGTGGCTGCTGTTGATGGTGCTGCTGTTTGCTGAAAGCTAGTGTGGACAGCAGTGAAATTTGCCGCAGGGGATGACATTTCCTTTCTCTAAGTTCTCTGAACCATGTTATGCTGGTGGCAGCATTTTACCCAGAGCAGGGTATTTTCCAAAATAGAGTTGGTGACCTCAGTCTCTGCCTCCACCCTATGTAAAGCTAAATCCATGTAGTATCTATCTTTATGGCTGTTTGATCTGATCACACCACAAAAACTTCGCTTGTTTGCAGTGAGGCTGCTCCATCTTCTCCCTGGAGTTACCCTTTCCATGCAGTTGGCCGGCTGGCTGGGAGGGCTTGCTCTGGCCTGACTTAGCTTTCACCAGCCCGTCTCACCGAGCTGAATCATTTGTAGCTTTTCACTTAAACATTTGAAGGCCACTATCGGGTTATATAAGAGGATTGACTTCATGCACATCTTGAATACTAGAGAGCTTTGAGGAGAAAGCCATTTGAACAGTCAGAACATATACTACATTTCCCAGAACTCACCATCTTAGGTGGGCAGTTGATGACTCCAGACCACAGTTAAAATGCTAATATCAAAAAAATGCTAATATCAAGGGCTGGAGAGATGGCTCTGCGGTTAAGAGCACTGACTGCTCTTCTAGAAAGATCCTAAGTTCAGTTCTCAGCAACCACATGACCTGACGTGACAGAACACTGTATATGTAATAAAATTTTTTTTATGGTAACATGAGGATCACAAATGAAGATGATTCAGTAGGTACAGGTTCTAGTCTGGAAGCCTAGTAACCTGAAGTCAATCCTTGGGACCCAAACAAAGATGGAAGGAAAGAGTCAGCTCCATAGTTGTCCTTTGACCCGTGTGTGTGTGTGTGCGCGTGTGTGTGTGCGCGTGCGTGCGCACGTGCATGCACATTCAGGCACTATGGCAATGTGTCCCCTTCCATACACAGTTAAATTTTTTTAAAAGGTATTTTACGTCAACAATCACCATGAAGCATTTACGTCCTTCTTAAATATATATATATTTTTTCCCCCATTGCCTTGTATAGCACTGGCCCGTAGCCAACAATGGCTTTGATTGTGATCTTGCTCCCACTTTCTGAGTACCAGGAAGATCAGACCTCCAGCAAGTAGGGTCTTGTGTAGTGCCGAGGCTCAAGTCCAGGGCTTTGTACATGCCAGATAATCGCTCCACCAATTGAGCCATACCGTCATCCCCTTAAATAGATTTTAGTCATATTACTACATTCACTTTAATACATCAGGCATGAAAACTTGCTTCTTTGAGAAAATGCATATCTAATGGTACTTTATGTACTGTGTTCAAGAGGAGTAAGAAAAAAGGTGCCGAGAAACTCGGAATGACAACAAAAGATCACAGATGGAGGAGTTGAAAGATTACAGTATGACTGGGCTTTAATGTTTTTAAAGCAATAAAATTAGCATAAAATAATTATGTGGGTGCATACAAGTTTAATTGAAAATAAAACATCTCTTTATTAAAAGGTGACAAGGATTGCTATACTTTACCTGTTTATGTCTCTATGAATGCGTTTGTTAGATAAACAGATGATTGTTTTAGAGGGTTCAAGGTATGACATAAGATACTTTATGTAACTAGAAGAAAACTGAGAAGCTCTTGTACCTATATATATATATGAAAAAATTTAAGCCGGGCAGTGGAGGCGCACACCTTTAATCCCAGCCCTCAGGAAGCAGAGGCAGGCGGATCTCTGTGAGTTCGAGGCCAGCCTGGTCTATAAGAGCTAGTTCTAGGACAGGCTCCAAAACTACAGAGAAAACCTGTCTGGGAAAAAAAAAATGTAAACCGTGTGTGTGTGTGGAGGAGCCACGATTGATAGTACCTACCTCAGCACTTGGAAGACTGGCAGGAAGATAGCACATTCCTGACCAGCCTCAAGTACATAACGAGTCTGTCTCTGAAAATGGGGCAAGGCTGGTGAGTGACATGTGTCTGACTGCTGCAGTCAAGATGCTGAGACAGGAGGCCAGGCTTCAGAGCGAGAACTTGTCCAGAAAAAGCACTAATTGGGAGCTGACTGGATGACAGAAGAGCAGTTGTCTGGTAGAGAGCTGACCAGGAGGGTGTAGGGGCTTCTAGGACAGGATGTGCGTTTGCCAGGACAGATAGAATTCTATACTCCACATCTGTGTATTGACACCTGGAATCCCAGCAAGGCTGGGGGTGTAGGCATCTAGGCCATCCTTGCCTAAAGAAAAAAAAAATTTCTTTTCAAATTGTTCTCTGTGCCTGTGAAAGCCAGAGGTATCTGATAGCCCCCCACCCCCAGGGAGTTACAGCTGCCCAGCATGGGTATTGGAACTGAGCAAGTCTTTGGAAGAGCAGCAAGTGAATCGCCTGTCTCCTCCAACTCCATAGATGATATCTTAGTTTTTCAAATGGTGCAGCATTGTGAAGAGGAGGGTGAGGCAGGAGGATCACAGATTTGAGGCCAGCTTGGGCTGCACAACAAGACCATGTCAGGAAATAGTCTGGAAAAGATGACCAGGGAAGATTCCTTTGGTGTATTTTCCACGTGAAGGGTGTGACATTTTCCTGATGTTTGGATGCTTGTGTTTAGGGAAGCTGCGCGAGAATGCCGCAGGAAGAAGAAGGAGTACGTGAAATGCCTGGAGAACCGCGTTGCCGTTCTGGAAAACCAAAATAAAACTCTAATAGAAGAGCTGAAAACTTTGAAGGATCTTTATTCTCATAAAAGTGTTTGACTCTTTAAAGAGAAAGTATTTTTATGGACTTGCTTAAAAATTAGATTTCTTTTTAGTGGAGTTTTATAAATTCAAAGGTCAAAGAAGCTACTTTGTATTAGGTTTTTACAATGCAAAGGTGACGGGGTGAGTGGAGATGACCGTAACAAAGCTGCTGGTACAACTGGAAGCTCCGGGGAAATGTACTCAAGGAAACAGACTTTGGCAACTTAATTTTAAACAACAGTCCAACCAAAAGTGGCAGATGCATTGATAAAGCAATCAGTTCCAAGTTTGTATTTCTGTTTCCTAAGATTGCCTTTTTGTGTGTGAGTGTGTGATTCCTACCAATAAATTCTAAATGACAATTGTAAAAGAAATCATAATACGTTACTAAGTATGTAAATTATGTGGTCTGATTGCTACTTGTCACAGTGTCGGGTGTGTTAAATGAGTTTTGACAGTTGGTTTTGTTGGACTTGAGGGTTTGAGAAGTGTTCTAACAGGCGCAGGGCACACTATCTGAGTCTGGTGATTTGTTACATTTTTATAAGAATGGAAAGAACTGTCTTGAAAATTTGACATTTTTAAATAGCTTGTTTTTTGCTTCCAGTAAGGGCAGTTTTTCACAAGGATATAATAATTTTTCTGATTCTCTAATCCTGTATGCAGTTGAAGAGCATTACTTTGTGCTTTAACAGAATGAAGTGTTTACACAAGCCCTAAAGATGCACGCCAAAGCTTCCCGAAGGTTTGTAATCATCTTACCGTAGGTTTGTCGGGTTCTAAAATAGTTATTGAGGCAATTCTACGTTGACCTATTTTGTAATGTAGCCAATGGTACCTTTATAAGAGAGTAACTGCCGATATATTTTTATAGTGAATCTTTATAAATTCTAATGTTGAGTTTTTAATGATTATTTTAAATGTTTATATAGTTTTAGTAAAAAAATTTGTATCTCAAATTATCATTTTTATATTATAAGAAGAGTAAAGTTTTCAATTGGCTGATATTTGAATTGTACTTTTTCTATGAAGTTTATCTAAAGTTGAAGCTGTGGTCAGGACACCAGTGTTTAACCTCTGTATTCTAATCTGTATACACTTTGAAACTGTTGTGTGCCTATATGGTATGTTTCATATTGTCTATGGAATTAAAAAAAAACATTTGATAAGATTAAGTTTGCGGAATACAAAATACAGTGTTCAACATAACAAGTGCCAAGCCCACTGCCAGCCACTTTGCGTGGCACTCGTGTGGTGGACTTGTAGCCTAAGGTCCCAGTAGCTCTGCAGTCTGGTATAGAGGTGCTTTGATTCCATCAGAACCAGCTATGATAAGCTCAGGAAAGCTGTCTGCAGGTACATTAACAGACCGCCACTTCCTGTTGATCCTCCAAAGGGATTGATCATTAGTAGAACTTGGCCACAAAGGCTATTTATTCCTTAATTTTTTTTTCCTTTCTTCAACCTAAAGAACATGGGGTTTATCAGGGTGTTCTAGCAGGGAGCAGTGTTTAGTTGGCAGTTACTATCATTTCACACATGTGCTGGTAGAAATAATCGCTGTCTGCAGCTCCAGCTAAGACCTGTCAGGTTCTTTTAGACTGTACCAATGAGGGAGCGTCCCAGCCCAGCAAGTCACTGTGTGATGACTTTAAAGCAGAGTGAAGACTGGGTATTCCTCTGTTCATTGGAGTGCTAGAGGTCTAGAGGTGCAGCATGACTTAGAATTGGCCATCAGTAGTGATGACGGCAGTATGCATGCATTCCCAGGAAAAGATGTGCCTAAGCTCCGTCTGGAAAACGCTTGATGGATAAAGAATGCCTTGTTAGTCAAGAGGGCACAGTCTTCAAAAGCATATCCAATCTAATCAGTAATGTTGGTTTGTTTGGTTTTGTTTTCTCAAGACGGGGTTTCTCTGTGTAGACCAGACTGGCCTTGAACTCACAGAGATCCACCTGCCTCTACCTCCCAAGTGCTGGGATTAAAGGTGTGCACCGTCAAATCAAATCAGTAATACTGTTACAGATTTCTTGTCTTTTTCACTATAAGTCACAGGGAAAGGCCATTCTAGATTGCCCTGTCCCCAGATCTTAGGGACTGGTATAGGAGAGGTTTAGGGCACATTACCACTGTCCCTTTTCTCATTCTTAGAGGCAGACTGCCCTTTGACTAGTACAGTTCGTTGCAGTCATAATTATTAGAAATTAAATCTTTCCTGCCATTTCATGATTGAGGTCCTTTTTCTCCAAGTTGTTGGCATTTTATGTACTCATTTGCTGTCTTCAACTTAGCTTGTGCCATATATAACATACACCATATATAACATGTTATAACATGTAGCAACCTAAACAAGTCAAGGTGACTACATACATGTGTTCTCAAGAGTATTCCGTGTAGATGTATAGCACTCGACTAGTGAGGTCATGGTATGCCTTTTATATACAGTGGGCAGAAGAGACCAGGAAAGTCCCCTTTCCACCCCTGTGGAACTCAAGCCCTTGAGGTTCTTGTTTGCTAGGTCACATCAGTGTAAGTGACTGGAATTCAGACTTCTAAACCCGATGTGGTGCACACCTGTAATCTCAGCAGAAACCAAGGGGCTGGAGCGGGAGGATCAAGAACACCTTTAACCCCAGCACTGGGGGTTGGAGGGATGGCAGAGGCAAGGTGATCTCTGGGAGTTTAAGGCCACCCCAGTCTACAGAGTAAATTCTGGGGCAGAGAAACCCTTCCTTTGGAGGGAGGGAGTTTGGGGCCAGCCTGTTGTTTGAGGCAATGTCTCAAACAGATCAGTTTTACTTCCCACTCAGTAAACCCATGAACTCCATCAGTGTCAAAGGAGAAAACTAACTCCAAAAGTTGTCCAGTGACCGCCTGGGCGATATGGCATTCACCTGTATCCACACATCTTATACACAGGTAGTAATAATTTATTAAAAAAATAGCAATCTGGGAACACTGTCTTGTAGCTTCATCATGAGGGTGCCTCATACATAATATGTGATGATCTGAGTTCAAGCAGGCACAGAAAAATTTGATATTCTGCCCAGAATCACACAGTAAATAAGAAAATTAATGTTGGGGGCTGGAGAGATGGCTCAGTGGTTAAGAGCATTGCCTGCTCTTCCAAAGGTCCTGAGTTCAATTCCCAGCAACCACATGGTGGCTCACAACCATCTGTAATGAGGTCTGGTGCCCTTTTCTGGCCTGCAGGCATACACAGAGACAGAACATTGTATACATAATAAATAAATATTTTAAAAAAAAGAAAATGTTAAATTTTAGGTCTAGTCAACACTAAAATGTATGCTCTTGGTCATGAGAATGTCCCTTATGGATTTTTTTTTTTTTTAAGGCAAGTTTCTCCCTCCTTTGGCTTAAAAATAGTTTAAAGCCCTGTTTAAACTGTCCACTAGAGGGCAACCTCCTTTAAACACAAGTTTGTAGAAAAGTCTGGCAAAGGGCCAACAAGATAACTCAGCCGGTGAAGGCACTTGCTGCCAGGCCTGATGCTCAGTCCCCATGTAGTGAAAGAAGAAAATGGCTTCACAATGTACTGTGGCATGCATGTACACACAGGAACACACATGGGAATGTCATAAAACAGCAAACTTTTGTACACCATCCAGGACAAATAACTTTGTTGTTTTGAGATCTGAAGGGAGAATGTACACGGGGCCCCCCCACAGTTCCTGTCCACTCCTGGTTTCCCTACAGGGAGGCAGCTGCTTGAGTTCAGTGTGTGGTCACTACATGGATTCCTAGGTATTCAGGCTGAGACGAGAGTCCTGTGGGTTCAGTAAGAACAAGGTCCTGTCTGAAAAACATACAGGAGGTTGAGAATGAAGCCAGGTGGTGGTTACTCATGCCTTTAATCCCAACCTGGTCTACAAAGTGAGTTCCAGGACAGCCATGGCTGTTAGAAAACCCAGTCTTGGGGGGAAAGGCTGAAAATGAAGCTCAGCTATGTTGGCCTAGGAGGTACAGTGCTCGGGGTTCAATTGCCAGCACCAATGAGCCAAGATGGTGACTTTAGTCTATAAGCCCAGCACTGTCAAGGCAGGAGACAGAATTTGAGGCCAGCCTGGACTACATGAAACCTTTTGCCAAAAAATAAAACTTAGGGTGAGATAGCTTAGCAGTTAAGAGCGTGTACAAGTTTGTACCCACACTCAGCTCACAACTGCTCACAACTCCAGGAGAGCCCCCCCTCCCACATCTTTAAAAGTAAACATCTTTATTTTTTTAAACAAAATCTTTAAACATTAAAAAACAAAAAGCATGACTTAGTGGATTTTTTAGTTCATAAATGGTTTCCAACATTCTACCAGTCTAAAAATAAAAAGTCAAATATGACAAAGTGCAGTGGAAGCCAGGAGCCGAGCCCCAGCTAGAGCACTTGCCCAGCACGCACAAGGCCTAGGGTGCGATTCACAGCTAGAGCACTTGCCCAGCACGCACAAGGCCTAGGGTGCGATTCACAGCTAGAGCACTTGCCCAGCACGCACAAGGCCTAGGGTGCGATTCACAGCACTAAAACTACAGCAGTGCAATTCATGTTTGGACTAAAATTGAACATCAGGCTTGCAAACGATTCAGTGGGCAGAAGTACTGGACCCAAGAACCAGTTCCCACAATCCTCCTGGCGCATACACATGCTCCCCGCACTTAAATCACACACATGTGACTGTTTCTGAATTGAAATCAGGCTGCAGAGTAGCTCAGTAGTCGACAACACTTGCATTTGCAAAGGACCCATCTTCCATTCTAGGCACCCGCATGGCAGTTCATAACCATCCCCAGAACTCTAAACTCCATGGGCAACGGGCCTAGGTGTGCTGCACAGACACAAACAGGAGAAACAGGTGGAGGAGTGCACACCTTTAATCCCAGCGCTTGGAGGCAGAGACAGACAGATCTGTGACTTTGAAGATAGCCTGGTCTGTAGTGCCTGAAGTTCAGAGTAAAGCAGCCCCACTGGTCAGCCTTTCAGACCAGGCAGTGGTAACACAAACCTTTAATTCCAGTGGTGCACGCCTTTAATCCCAGCTTTAGGATTATAAAACAGGAGACAGCTCTCAGACACAGTCTCATTCTGAGATTCCTGGAGGCAGGATCACCATTTCAGACTGAGGTAGAGTTAAGAGCCAGTGGCTGGCTGGCTTGCTTTTCTGACCTTTAGGCTAAACCCTAATTTCTCTCAGTTTTATTAATCACACATCACTGGTCTACATAACAAGTTCCAGAACAATCATGGCTACCTTTAAAAAAATTAAAAACATAGACCGGACCAAATCATAAAGACTATCAGGTTGAAGTGGGAAGCAAAATTCTACTACATGTTTATAAATGCTAAATTTAAAATGTGAGGAAATGGCAAGACTGAGATGGAGCGTTCCAAAAGCCAGTCAAATTCTAGCCAGAGATAGCTGCAGTGGCTGTATATGTGTGTTGAAGAAAACAGACTAGACATCATCCTTGGTTCACAACTGCACTCTTGCTGCCATGATGAATCGTAATGTAGACATCTGTGTTTTCTGATGCTCAGCCGACTCCTGTGAGAGGGTCATTCGCCTCCCAAAGGGGTCGCAACCACAGCTTGAGAACTGCTAGTCTAGAAGATCATATGGTTAATGCTTTTTCTGACCTTCCCGCCTTCTTGAGGACTGGGGTAGCTCGTGCTACCACGCTAGGCCCACCTCTGACCTTGAGTTCACTAGAACAGGGTAGGACACTAAAATGAAGAAATATGATAAGAAAAAAGGAAAAATTCTAGAGACAAAAGCAGGAAAATAGCAAAACAGATTTGAAGAATTAACAATCCCAGTTGATGCAGAACACAGCCCTTTGTGGGCAACACCATTTCCTGGGCAGGTAGGCATATTCTAATAACAAAGCTAGCAAGGCCTAGGTCTGCAAGTGAGCCAGCAGCAAGCAGCATTCTTGCAAGGTTTCTGCTGCCCTCTGTGCCGGCCTTTGACTTCCTGCCCTGATGCCTCAGTGATGGACTGTAAACTACTGAGATAAGATAAGCCTTTTCCTTTAAATCGGTTTTGGTCATGGTATTTGTACAGCAGCAGAATGGAACTGGAGTGGGCGACCTCATCCTACATCCGAGAAAGAAAAGCCAGGGTGAAGTTAGCATGCCAGGCAAACA